TTTAGAAAGCTGAGTATAAGATTTTTAAAATTCCATTCTGCCAAATAAAATAAATAACCTCAAGACAGTTGCCCAGAGTGAAAGAGAAAATTCTATTGCATTTATGAATTGCTAGGCAGAATAAAGGATATTTGGTAGCAAAATCGCTAACAAGGTCTTTCCTATTAGCTTCTGAATTGAATGTTCTCTTTACTAAAATCCCAGTGCCACCAGTATAGCATTTATTCTGGGAAATCATAGGTCCATTAAATTCAAATACCGCTTCATTCAAGAAGTGGTAAATGCTCCCTGAAATAATAAATATTTACTGAGACAATTAAAAAATATGACAGAACATTAGCGAGAAAACTTGTGAATGACCTAGTAGGAAAACTGAGATATTTTGCTCAAGGGGGTTAGAATGGGAATATAATGTTATTGAAGTGATTAAAACAAGTAAAGGAGTGAATAGACATAGCAATTAATTGAAATATGTAAGTAAAGGCAAAGGTGGGACTCTGAGCATGTAATTTTGATGATCAGAAGAACTTGGGGTTAGTTAATATTAAAGAAAAGTCTGCCACTTACCTTCAAAATGTGTTTCCTTAGTTGCAGTCTCCCCAAAGCACAAGAGAAAGGGAAGGCTGTGAGGATTGTACCCTGCTCACTCTCTGGGCTCGGGTACCTCTCCCCTCCTGTGGAGGGGCCCAGGCTGCAGAGATGAAGGGACACATCAGGGTTTGGGAGAACAGAGGTTGGTACCAGATGGGAGGAAATGGCTGGAAATGAAAGCTTGGCCAAAAAGACAAGCTGTTGTGAGTTTAGGATCATGAAAAGGATTACGATTTCTGTAGCCATTGCTATTATGACTTTAGTCAGTTTTTGCCTGCTCTTTACAACAGGTATCTAGTGCCCTTGATAAGAACTCTGTCCTCTAGTTATGTGTATAAACCAAAGTAAATAAATATGTAAAATTAAATGTAATTAAATTTCCCAAAGCATGGGACAATGATAGTCTGGCATTTCAAGCTCAATCAATGACAGCATTCCCACTAACCTCGTTTGGAGCCCGCTGAGGCTCTGGGCTCGTAACTCATGTTTGTCATGTCAGAACCTGAACTGATGTCATTGTGCACAGGGCACCATGTGTGCACCCACCAGCCGTGGCCTGAGACACACAGATCCTGAGAAAGCACAGTCTTCTGCCTTAATCTCAGAATTTTAGCTTTACAGGGTTCCCATAAAGTTTAATTTTTTTTTAGGAAGACCTTTTCAGCTATTCTGCTGAGGCTATTCTTTTCTTCCAAGAGGAGATCCATTTCCCTTCTAAATCAAAAGTTCCCATGTGAATAACTTCTGAAAAAGAAACAAATTCTGTGCTGAGTGGCTGGAACTGAGTAATTCTGTTGTTTTACTAACACTGCAAGAGTTGGGAAATGTTTGTTTTCCTAGAACTTACAAGTCTCTGTTACACCATCAGTGATTTGACTGGCCATTTCCTAATTCCCTTGTATTTAGTGCACTACAGATGGCTAACAAGTTCCTCACTCTACCTCCAAATAATTATAATTCTCATGTTCCACATAGCAAAAGCAAAAAACATTAAATTAGTGATATTTTCCATAGCTTAGTGAGTGATTCATTCAGTAAGGTAAAACCATATTGATGAAGAACAACAGGAGAATTTATCAGGAGTGCCGAGGTGACTGTTAACCTCTGTGTCAGACCAACCTGCACTTGGCTGTTTTACACAGCTGGGCTGATTTGTTGGTGTTTTTTTTTATTTTGCTTTTAAAGGAAACTTCAGGGTGTGATAATTAGTGACTGTAGCCTTTTGAGACAGGAATTGAATAATTACTATAAGAACAGTTTTTATTTTAGGGGGAATGTGTGAAATTAACATAATATTTTAATAATATGTGTTAAAGGCAAAGTGTTGCACCAACTTTTCCTTTTCTGTGTCATCATTAAATATTTTAGTGCACTTATCAGCAAGCTGAAATACTAATTTGGAAACACCAAGCACTGTGTAAGGCAGTAAGTTAAGAATAAACTTCACCTTTGATTACATTTCAGAAAAGCCATGTAGGTATCTGAGGGTTTAAGTCAATCCAATGAATGAAGTTTTTTTGTTCAAGTAAAAGTTTTTGATAAAATTAGTTACAGATTAGATTTTTTAATTTCCAGCTCTTCTGCAACCAGTGATAGTTCAGTGAATTGCCACCCTGGTGTTGCAGGTGCCCATACACAGTGTCCCTTTCTGCAGGACACCAGGACTGCAGTGTCACGGGTGGCTTTGGGGTGGTGCTGACCTCGACACATTTTTCTTTTTTCTGGACATCCTTGCATTTATTTAGAATCAGGATGGTAGCTGTGTTTTGTCATATGCTGAGTCTTCACCCCAAAGTTTTCCTCCCCTAATTAAGATCTTTCCAGTAACTCACAGCAAGAGAGAGGCTCTTCCAGGTACCAGTGTGTGTGTGTGTTCTCACCTGAGCTGCTCCAAAGGGCTCAGTATAAGTGAGGAGGGATTTTAGTAACGAGATGGTGCCATGAGCAATTCATCTGATGACCTCTAAGGACTCTGCAGGACTGAGCCTGGTAATGAAGGAATTCAGCTGAATGGAGGGTGACCAGGGGGTTGCCCTCACTTTAGGAGTACCAATGGAAACATGTAACCCAAAGCCTTAGTCTTCGTAGCTGGAAATGTTCCCTGGCCTTCCTAAAATCCAGATATCTCTGCATTTAAAAAAAAAGTTGTTCCAGAGAAAATCACCAAAAATGCCTCAGATAAGGCTTTTTAGTTTTATGACTTTTCTTGGTCAACATGAAATAGAGTTTTTAAAATTTAATTTTGGGGTTTTTTTGTAATCCAAGTGATGTATAAACTTCACAGAATATTGAAATTTTCCCAGAAGATCATCTTGGTTGGTCTTGGACCTGTGTGTAAATAAACATATACTTTTCAATTGTTTTATAAAAACTTCTATTGCAGATACCAACCTGATTGGGTGTATTTTAATCTGTCTGGTATTTGGGGAGTTTCATAAAATGCATATTTTGAGACCAATAAAGTGGAATGGCTCAATCAGAGCCATTATTGTCTATTGGACAAATATATTTATTCAGCATTTTCCCATCCATACTGTTATGCTCCAGATCCGAATGGCTGCTTTAGAGCCATTCTGCTCTCCTGGGTAATGCATGCAGTACTTGGGATGTTTGCTGTGGATAGGAAATGTATTTATGAAAATTTATACGTTAAAAAAAGGAAATTGCACTAGCCAAGATTTAAATGAAAATAGTTTTCCCTTTGCAAATGCCTGTTATTATGCTCTAATATACTTTCAAATGGCAGTGTTCACCAAGATGCCTGGGACCTGGAGGCTGTGGTCTGAGAGAGACAGGAGCTCAGCCCAGCAGTCCCTGCCAGAGAACTGGAGATGCTCAAAAAGCCTCTCTTCAAGCACAGAAAGCACCCAGCCATCGTTGCCTGCTGCTGCTTCTGAGGCAGCACGGACTTCATGTGCTTAGAGATGATTGTTCCTCAAATACAACCTTGTGTGGGGGAAAAAGGCTCCAAGCAGCTCTGGGAAGCACCTGGGGAGGTGCGGGCTTACTGAAGGTGTGAGTGCAGTCTTTGCTGGGCAGCAGATGTGTGATTACATGGACCATTCCACCAGCAACGTTGTGGGACCAAGCATCCCGGTGCAGCAGGCAGTGCCCATCCATCCTGAGCCACTGCAGCCTGTTCCAGTGCCCTGTTCCAGGTCCTGCTCCAGTGCCCGGGGCTGGCCGGAGCTGCCCTGCCTGTGTGCCATTGCTGCAGTGGCCCAGCAAGTCGAGTCCAGATCTTCAGTGTCCAGCATCCCAACTAAAGAGATTTGTTTCCGAGAAATTCAAGCCTTTGAGGCTTTTTCCAATATCTCTTTGCGAGGGAATAATTTGTTTTAAAGAGGTAATTGCTGTTATTTTTGATTTTCAGCAAAAAGATTTTCTTAAACCAGGCAAAGAAATCTGAAATGAGTTTGCCGTATTGCATCTCAGTAAGTGCTATAGCCATTGGCCATCTAAGGAAAAACATTCTGTCAGATAATCATGGCCATTTTTGCATTTTAAGGGAACAAATGTCATATCTAAGAAACACATTTTATTCAGAGCTTAATTATAATTTATAGTACATTGCACAGCATTTGTTTTCTGTTCATCATGTTATTGCTCTTCTGTCTTTCCCCTAAATTTATGCATTAAATCGTGTGTGTGTGTGTCTGTATGCGTGTATCTGTGTATATATGTACACATATGCAATATAATACAAAGTGGTGTAGTGGGGACAACAGACGGCTTGTGTGTGATGTATTATTGGCATTTTTCTTTCAAATTACCATTTTCTTGCTGCTTTGGGAGAAAGCCATGATTTTGCTGTGATTAGTACACTTTTAACAATCTGGAATAAATTCCTGATTTTATTCATGTGACTAGTTCAATGCCCATTTTTACGTTTTAGAGCAAACCCCTACATATGTGCCTGTAATACCACAAAAATAAGATGTTTCTTTGTGGAAATTTTATAGAATTTGGATGCCGATCAAATATTTTTAGAAGTGGAGAATTAATGCGGCTTGACCATGTAAATGATTTTTTTAATGAAAAAGACTTTAGTATTCATCACTCTTTCTCCCTCTCGTTTGTGTATTCCTTTGTGCTAATCTTAAATAATGGATCCATATCAAAGTTAATAAATTAGTAACTATTAGCAGTGTTTGGATTACAGTAAGTAACCCAGTGCCACTTCATTGACATTGACTTTTTATGTGTTCCAATAATACATTTTGAGTTTTAAAGATTAGACAAAGCAAAATACGGTTTGGCATGTACTTGAAACTTTAACAGCTCTTGGGCAATGGCTTTGTTTAAATCCAAGGCCCTTACTTGAGGTAAACTTTCATTTAAGTGGCCCTAAACCCCAGACTGAGATCCATGTCTTTCTCAAAACCTACAGTTTCTGACTGTTCAGCTGATGCACCATGTTGGGCTGCATCAGTCATGCCATGTTATGAAACCTAACGCGATGTGACTGATGCAGCTTGACATCAAGTGTCACAAAGCAACATATCACATCACAAACTTGAAAGAAAAGAAAACAAACTTTACTATTTTTTCCCCTCAAAGCCTAAATTAATGAAGCAGCATATATTTTTTAAAAGGTGGACTAGTTTCAAACACTGAGGGATTTTTCTTAATATGGGCCTGCAGGAAACTTCTCCATCCTGGCTGGAAGGTACCTCTTATCCATGCTCCTTGTGCTCCCTTAAATTCAGTCAAAAGTAGAGAAGATGATGAGCCTGGGTCACCTCAGCACTGCCACCCCTCCTGGGTCTGATCCTGGGAGGTTTAGATCAATTTTAGAGGAGAGGCTCCAGCAGGTGCTGGAAGTGATCACCCCTCACAGGGAAATATATACATGCTAAAAGTGTCCTTTGAGTCCAGCCATCACTGTTGTCATTTTTGCTAATTTTGATTATTATTTTCTGCTCTTCCACTTCCTTAGACTGTCAGCTTCCATCCAGAGGATTGCTAAGTCTCTCCACATGCTCAATCACAGCCCTCATAGAACATAGCTCCACAACAGAATTATTTCAGCTGCAAACTATATACTGTCCTCTATTCTGATTTTTGATCAGAGAAAAATCAGAGATGCACACCATAGTTTGCCCCCCTAGTCCAGTCACTTTCATATTAATTCTTTTTACTACAATTGCAATGCATATCACATCATCTCCTGAACTATCAAGAAGATTCCTTTCTTATTTTCTTTTTTTTTTTTTTTTTTTCTGAAGGGCTTTCATATAATTTTATTGGGAGACATATATAGTGGGTAAAATACATATGAACTATAGCTTGCTAAGAAAGGACCTACCAACCACTGCTAGAAAAAGCATTATAAATTTATTGCCAACTTATCTGGGAAGGGTTATTTTAAGAGCCTGCTGCCCACAAGAAGTTTTGGAGCTAAAATTAACGAATGGGGATACCTAAAAGAAATGGGAATTTTCCTTCACCCCTTAGTTACAAGCAAATTGCAGATATTGTTATCTTTGCAAGCAAGAATAATCTCTACTTTTTGTACTACTTCTGCTGTAAACAATGTACCGCTTGCTTTCCTATGACCCTCACTCTGTATACATATTTATATATTATTCATATCGGATTAAAAATGAATGTGCTCTTTACCACAGTTGTACTGCATAGTGACAATACAAATTAACTTATTGTGTACTTACTTTTCACAAGGCAGTGATGTGAAATTTTGATGGCCTGAAAAAGTAAGTCATGGGAGAAGCAATGCAGAACTGAATCCTTGTAGGTGCACTTTATATTGTCTGATTTATTAAAGTGCCTTGAATTAATAAATGACATTCTCTGCATGGAATTTTGAACATGGGTTTGAACTTGGTTCAGTGGTGGGCAAAAAGAGTTTGCTTTTAGTCTGGTGCATGTGAGGTGGTTAGCTCCAGCCATGCTTTCTGCATTCCTTGCTTAGAATTTGTTCTTTGCAGGAAAGAATTAGGATGGCTGTTTATTTAAAGAGCTGCTTGTGGGTAAAGCATTAAGAGCTGATTGGTGAGATCACAGCATCATGGAGTGGCTTGGGTGGGAAGGGACACTAAAAATCATCTCATTCCAACCCTCCTGCTGTGGGCAGGGACACCTTCCACTATCCCAGGTTGTTCCAAGCCTTGTCCAGCCTGGCCTGGAACACTTGGAGGGATGGTGCAGCCACAGCTTCTCTGGGAAACCTGTCCTAGGGCCTCACCACCCTTACAGGGAAGCATTTTTTCCTAATATCCAACCTAAACTCACTATCTGTCAGTTTGAAGCCATTCCCCAGTGTCCTATCACTCTAGGCCCTTGTAAATAGTCCCTGCCCATCTTTCTTGTCAGCCTGCTAAGGTACTGAAAGGCCACAATTAGGTGACCCTTGAGCCTCCTCTTCTCCAGGCTGAACCATCCCAATTCTCTCATGCTTTCCTCACAGGAAAGGTTCTCCATCCCTCAGATCCTCTTGGTGCCTCCTCAGGACTCTCTCCATGAGCCCCACGTCCCTCCTGTGCTGGAGGCATAAATATGCATGTTGGAGGCTTTGGGGTGTGGTCACACTTCTGGCAGCTTCAGCCTATGAAAACAAAGGGTGAAGGGGAGCTTTCCATCCTTGAGGAAGGAAACTAGGCACATTCCTGGGGCAAGGGCTCAGGACACCAAGTGTCATTGCCTTGGGTAGCAAGCAGCATGGTTTGGGGGACTCAGCCTTCAGGTGGTGGTGTTCATATTACAGTAAAAATGGCAAGTTGTTTGAGCAGCCCAGGGGACTAATGCTGGTTCAAGTGAATTCACTGTGCTACAGAGATGCTCATGCTCCTGTGCCAGCAGCTTCCCAGGCTCCCATCCCTTCTAGGAGGACCACGGCAGCATTTCCACTCCAGTACAGGTATAGCATCAGACCAGTTCACAACAGGTGTCTAATTGTTTAGCTAGTAAATTTCCACCTAAAATCAAGGGGAGAAGGTCCAGCCCCTTCCCCATTGCAGGAAGCATAATTCTCCTCCTCTGCTGCCCCAGCATCTCTTTTATGCCTGCTAATAGTACCACAGCAGCAAGGGAAAATGTGCTCTTCAAATGTGGAGATAGGGTATTGTTTTTCACTTATCCTGGCTTTATGTAGATGGTCTGGCACATTTATTTATTCATTTATTTGAGCAAATTAAAGCAAGCTAAGCACATTTGACCTCAGATGGTCCTGGTTTAAGTTAATTTGAGAGACAAAGCTCATAAAGTTCCAGTAAAACACATCAACAACTTCCCAGCATAGGTTGAAATGTGATTGTTGAAACATAACCTCCAAAACCAGATACAGCATGGAGATTTGAAGTCACAATAATCTGAAAAATATAAGAGAGGATATTGATAAACCCTACTGAGAAGTGATAGCTTTCATTCATGCCTTTGTTACAAGGTCGATTGCTGTTTTATCCACAAGAAGTGCATCTATCAGATTTTGTGCATTAACATTCCTTTTCTAATCTGGCTTGGACATTTTATTTTAAAGCTGATGATAACCTTGGGCCCTGGTCCAGCAAACACTTACATGCTTGCATATCTTTACTCACAGGAGTAATCTCACTGGAGTAAATGTTTGCAGGTTTGAGGCCTTGGCTATCTCAATCCATTATTTCTTTCCATTAAAAAGTAATCTGTGCAATTGAAATAAAACATACAATTCTTTACCCAGAAACCCACCCAAAGACAAAGTGTGTTTATTAGACTAAGGGTCTGCACATTGTCATCCTTGAATTGCACTTCAATAAAAAAGATAATTAACAAATGTAAAATAAGACAGTTTCGTACATGCTGTATTTACAAGAGCTTGGTTTGGATCATGGGCTGAAGGATTTACAGCTGGGGCTGAGGAGGGAGATGGATTAGCTCCACTGCTCTGGAAATCCTAAGCAGGCAATTTTCAAAATGCAGTTTATTAAGGAAGGGCACAGATTTCTTGTTCTCTCAGAGGCCACTGAGCGAGGGGGCATCGCTCGGTGGCCTCTGAGAGAGGGGCTCCGGAATGTCCCATTTGTCCAGGCTGTGCAATGTCCGTGGGCTAAAGCAAAAACTAACCAGGCTGTCATCTGTCACACAGGTCACCGGCCTTTCCAGTGCAGATACTGCCCCTACAGTGCCTCTCAGAAGGGAAACCTGAAGACCCACGTGCTCTGTGTCCATCGCATGCCTTTCGACAACAGCCAGTACCCCGACCGCAGGTTCAAGCGCTCCAGAGTCGACTCCGAAGCCGCCGGGAATTTGGAGGAGCCGGCGGCTGCCAGGGCAGGGAGCTTGGCAGAGCTGGCCGAGGAGGGCACCAAGGCCCAGGAGTGATGCCCAGCAGGTCCAGCCCTGCTCTGCTATAGCCTTTTACTCCGGCTTTGGACACGTGGTTGGTGAGGGCTGGCTTAATAAACCCCTTCCGAGGAAAGGGATGGCATGCCAGTTCCCAGAAGGGTCCAGAATGCTGAAAACATTCAGATATATGTATATATACATGTACCAAAACATGTACATATATATATATATATATATTTACAGACACAGAGATATCCAGTCATACTCACATTGAATATATATCTACATACACACACATATACAAAATACACACATTCCATATGTGTGTGTGTGTGTGTAAATATATATATTACACATGCAAAATAAATTTCCAGCCCTTGAAAATGGCTGCTAAACAGTTACCTGGCAACTAGTACTTCCAAACAATGTAGGTGGGATAATAAAGTGATTTAAAAATATTAGGAGGTCGTTAGTTATTAAAAAAGCAGGGCAATTTCAAACTTAAAAGTGGTCTTTGTCCAAAAATAATGCTCTTAACAGAAAAATGATACCCTCTAAACGATTTAGTGTTGCCTTGAAGATTGAGGGGCTGTGTTTTCATTGTTGAAAACACCTTTATAATATGACACCAGCTGCTGTCATTTGCCTAGCATAGTAATGAGATGTCTTGGTAGACTGCCATGGTGCCAGTCTGACTGGAGCTGTCATTGCAGAGAAAATCAATTCAAGTGGTGTTGCAACTGCAGTGTAGGAGAAACCTTAGACGGCCCATAAGCTGGGGTCAGTACTGACCTATTTTGAAAAGTATTGTGATATTACATTTTCTTTTTTTTTTTTTTTTTTAATATACAGACAAATGAATCAATGGTTAGGAAAAAAAAAAAATCTGCAGCCCAATGCGTGATTGCAGATTTGAAATGTAATTCCATTTTTTGTAATCATCTTGCAGTATTGAGGGAAATGCTTTTATTCTTTTTTTTCCTTGTTGAAGAAGTTGCTATAAATGTAGAAGTACAATATATAGAAATATTGTTTAGTGAAACTAGTCAGCCTTATCTATAGAAGGCACTGGTGAGAAACAGAATTTTATTACATAGGAGGTTGGTAATTTTTTTCTTCTGTTCTTTACTTGTCTTATTGTTTTTTTTCCAAACTTGCTTTCAATTCCGTTGGGTTTTTTTTTTGTTTTGCTTTGGTTTTTTTTTTTGTTGTTTTTTTTTTTTTTTTTTTTTTTTTTTTCCTTACACTTGAATGAAGGAATGAAGGATTCCCTGGTCATGGTTAATTTTCATGTATTAGATTTTGTAAGTGTTACAGACACAGTGCAGAAGTTTCTTCTGGAGCAAGCCCTTATTAAGTAGCTTGACTTAAAATGTGAATCCAAGCTTTCTGCTCTTTGTCTCTAATGAAAAAGAAGTGTTTTAGATGATATTTCTTTGGTTTTGTAAAACAAATGTGTTCTATATTTTTGCAGACTTTAGCTTTTTTACTGATTGGATGCTCCAAATTTAGCAAGGTCTTTGCCTCATAGGAAGCTTTTGAGAGACTATAACAAACCACATAAAAAAAGTAAGAAAAATAACTAAAGGTTTATTCTGAAATTCTCTGAATGGCATAAAATTTTATCCTTCTAATGTACTTCCTTTGATAGAAGAAAAATTGGTGCTGTTTATTGTGATGGTAGAGAAGTATTAACTTCTCTAAAGCAAAATCATCCAGACTTAAAAAAAAAAAAAAAAAAAGAAAAAGTAAAAAAAAAAGTCAATATTTCTTTGCAGGCTGGGAGCACAGAGTAAAACCCCAGGGCCTTAAAACTTCAGCTCTGCCTAAAGCAGTTTACAAAAAATACTAAACTGCAATCAATGTAAATAAAATTCTTAGCGCTACCCTGAGACTGGAAAAAAAATCTCAGGCTAATAAGGAATACGGTTTGCATATGCTGTCGGAAAGGATGTCATCCAACTGAAGTTTCAGTTTAAATGAGGTCACTGTGTAACTTGGACCCATCTGGCACAGAGCAAGCTGCTTTTCTTGTTTTTCTAGTATAGTTCTCACTGCCTTACTTAAATCGAGTTGATAAACTTAATGCAACTGTTTCTATGATCCTAGATAAAGGATTGAAATGTTATTGAACCTTTCTGACTGTAGTAAGCTTTAGGATTTTAACTGCACTACTGTGTTTGGTGACTGTGTCAGTCGCTTGCTTTGTGTGTTTGCGCCGCCTTCGGTATCTTAGCAAAAAAAAAAAAAAGAAAAAAAAAGAAAAAAAAAGAGAGAGAAAAAAAACAAAACCACCCCCCACATTCCATTTCTTGCACTTTTTGAGCTCTTTCAGTATTCTTTCGTGTCTTCTGAGCATTTTCTGATACGACAGGCAATAATTCTGTTTGTGACACTGGAAACATCTCCCGCTCCTTGTGATGTGTGTGTTGATTCCATTTGGTCGGGTGCTACTGTCCCTATCCTCCCCTCTGACATAGCCCTTTTTTCCAGAACATTTGTAACTTGTAATACAAACAAGTGACAGCAGCAGTGATGCATTGTCAGTTTCTGAATATCATCATGCTTCTCATATCTAAACATGTCAAGTTTTTTCTCTGTAACTTCTGTAGTCTGTGATACTGGTCATAATACTGTCTACATTCCTACACAAAGAAAAATTTCTATCTTGGAGGAAATCTGAGATCAATAGAGTAGAGGATTTTGTTGCTATGCTTGTAACAATTAGAAAACTTTGTATTTAAAGTTTATTCTTGGTCATTATTTATTATTATAATACATCAGTTGACAGAACTTTATTCTGGTATAGAAGTATTAAAAGTTGTTTTTTCAGCAATGACTGTTTTCTTTCTGCTGTTAGAATAAAAATGTCTTTGAAGCAGTACAGTTTTATCCAGTGTTTTACGCAATAAAACCTCTACCTCTGAAAAAAAAGTTTTCCTATTTGCTTATGTTTATTAGGAACAGTTAAAACATTATTTTCTTCAGCTTTGTCGGGTTTAAAAAGAAAAAAAAAATAATGCCAGTAAATTCACAGTTGTTAGGCAGTTACTGGAGTGTATTATTCTGGGTGTGTGTGCTCAGTCCACTTATTAATCTGAACAAATCTATATACAGTATATACAGATATATATTATATATATTGTGCTTAATTAAAAGACTGTGGAAATCTGTTTTAGCATGTAGTAATAATTGTTTTATATACTACTACTTATGCACTATAGAAAAAGTTTTGGGGTCTATCAAGCTTTGATTTGAAAGTGTTTGAAGTGTGTATCATACACTATGATGTATAAAGTCATGTTTTCACATTAAAAAAGATTGTTTGTATAGATCATATATTTGGCTTTAGAAAATTGTGAGGTTTATTGTTATGGTGCATGTTAAGAAAGCTGCTTACACTTCAAAGAATATACAAGAGCAAGAGTGCTCCCACTCTCCTGGGTGAATCTTTATTCTTCCCCTTTAAAGTTTTATCTGCACATTTGAAAGCAAATAAATTAAAGGATTTTTCACTTAGAAAAGTAAGGATGATTAACATCAAAAAAAAAGATGCACCCAATCTGAGAAACTACAGCAGGTGTGGGGAGAAGAGAGTAATGTGGCCTTGCTCCAAAAAATACTGAGAAAGCAAACATATTTCAAAACCAGAAATTTTAACATTAAATTAAGCTAATCATACCCACAATAATAAAGTTATATTCTAGCTTGCATTCTCCAGAAAGAAAAGGTACAAAAATTGTCAGAAGGGTTAAGAATTAAAGCACAGAATCATAGAAATTCAATTTTTCAGTGGCTGAAACTCACAGTGAGGAGGTGCTGTTACTGGTGAAATTGTGGAAAGTCTCTACAGCCAGGGGAGTCATGGAGCTGGTGCCAAATTCCCTGATCTGTGGGCAAATGCTACAGATCTCATCATCCACTGAGAATAAAATCTGCACTGCAATGCATCAAATTTTAATCAAAATCCAAGAAGTTAATGAAATTTTTTTTGGTGTCACATCCTCTCTCAGGGGAAACAACCCTTCCTAGGCACAAAATGGCAGCACATAAAAATGTGTCTTGAGGAGGGATGAGCTCCAGGCTCAGAGCTGAACTCTGCCTCACAACAGGATCACTGTCCTTTCAGCTAATTGCTGGATCCAGGGAAAAATACCTGTCTGCGGAGAGAGTGGTGGGGGGTGTCTCCCAAAGATTTTCCTGCCTTCTGGTTTCAGCAGACAGTAAAGGAAAAGATGAAAACCTGATTAGGGAGCAATGACCGTCTCATTGTGCCTCCATGGACATGCTTACAGTCTCCTTTATGGTCCTGGATTTCTGCTGGGAGCTGTGCATTACACTGTACACACAATCCTCTAGGAAATCTAAAAATGACCACCAGTGGCCATGTACCACATGTGGGGTTGAATCACCTGTGAAGACAGGTGGGAAGAAGGTCTCAAAGAGGAAATAGACTCTGTCTCACTGGAGTCTATGGGGTTTTGTTTCCCACAGCTGATGGACAGCCTCCTTCACAGAGATCCTGGGTGTCCTGAGTGTTCCTGGGTGTCCTGGGTGTTCCCACCTAACATCAGAAGGCTGCTCCCAGCTTTAAGATAACATTTCTTGTTGAAACTTTTATAAGTACTTTAAGCCCTCTATCTATTGTAATTTGGGAATTGAATATTTCCCCTCTCTGTTTAACATCTGTATTGTAACAGTATATTATAAAAACCTCACCTTGTGTATTGTAAGCACGCTCCCAGTGAAATTATTCGTAACTATTGTGATTTCCATTTCTGGATATCACTGCTGGGCATGATCCACCACAGCATGTTTCCATCGGGAAGCCCGGGGAGGGGAAGGAGGGAGAATAAAGCTGTGGTGTAGCGTTGTATAAGAAATGTCACCCAGCTGAGTGTTCCTAGGGGCTGTGAGAAGTTCTGTGGCTCCTCACCTGTTGGTGTTGTTCAAGATATTATTTGGGGGCTTTTTGTTGTGGTATTTATTTTTTTTAACCAAAGGTTCTCAGTGAATAGGGAAATTACAGGAAAAGAGGAAGAAGAAAATTTAAATGATCCCAGAGTGAACTGTTTTGCTGTTAATACAGAAATACAGAGCAAGACACATTTAATGGGCTCTATTTTTTATTATACTATGCTGAATAATTAAGTTTGAGGCTAAGTGTCACATAGATTTATCTTTTAATTAAAAAAGCATGGTTCACGCGTATTTGAGTGGTAGTCCAAATAAATGCAATATAGAAATTTATGTTTGTTTATCTAGGTGTTAATTACCTAGAGATTGTTCTGGATTACTTCTTTTTATAAAGTGTCATAGGCTCATGTCACAAGTAATAAAGCTTAACAGTGGAACCTTATCAATTTGCTAACTATAACGCTAGTGTGACCTGGAGGAAAGGGAAAAAAAAAAAACAACTTTGGAAAATGTTCTCTGCGTGCACCACATTCAACACATAAAAACCACGCAGTGAACAAAGCAATCATTTTTAAAACGTTCTCATAAGTAAAAGTACAAATATATCTTTGGTGTTTTACAGCCCTTCATATATGTAATTATTTATATAACACACTGTTATTTATGCCCAATACTACATGTTGTGCAGAGACAGACATGGTAAGCAACAAAATGTCCTTTACCTGGTGGGCAAGCTATTCATTTAATGTACAAAGTAACACTTACAAAGACTGAACACCATATTTAAAGCAAGATGTAGCAGATGTAATTTTCTTAATATTTTAAGAGTTTTACAGCACTGCTTGCAACCAAGAGGACTGGGAAGGCAAAATGAAGGCTAAAGATAAAAGATCATGAATTTCAGTGGCACAAACAGAGGGAAAAAT